TGCAGATTTGCATTATGCAATGCATGCATTTAATCAGATCCGGAAGAACAATGTCATAGAGTCTCCCTATCCGTAGATAAGAGGATTGACAGCATGATTGTACTGGTAGGAGTGGGCGATCCCTGGATAGAGGAGAGAGGAGGCGTAGCCGTAGGATCCTCCAAGACCTCCAAGAAGGCCGTGACCGTAGCCAGGCTCGGCCTCACGCTTGCCGATTGAGTGGCCGACGGTGCTGTAGGAGACGTGACCCAGAGGATAGCCATAGCCATAAGCTCCTCCAAGGCCATAGTTGAGGCCGTAACCATAGGCGCCGCCTAGGCCGAGACCTCCTCCCAAGAGGTAGCCAGGGTCGGCTTCAGCGTCGCGCTTGTGAAGGATGTGGCCGCGGGTACTGAGGAAGGAGTGAGCGCCATATGGGTAGAGCCCATAGGCACTGCCTAGGCCTACACCGTAAGGGTAGAGAAGGGGGTGATGGAGGCCGACGGAAGGCTCAGCCTCGCGCTTCTGCTCTGCTGCCACGAAGGCGACCAACAACACGGCGATCTGGGGGTGAAAGTATAGAAAAATCAGCAGATTTTCATAAACAACTTTAGAATCTTCACACCATAAAAGCTTTCTTCCGAAAGCATTTATAAACACACTACTTAAAGGCACAAACATAAGTACACCTGTCAGTGAGTGCACTATGCATACAATGATTACGTATTAACATCGCTCACCAGTGTCTTCATGACTGCAACTGCTGTGCTAACTGCAGTGTGATGGCGAGTTCAGCCCTTACCCCTTTATATACTCCTCTCTCCTAAACGACGCGGCGCGACAAGGCCGCACCCTTATCCTGTCCTTGGCCGTTTATAGTAGCTTTTGGAAAATCTCGTGTCATTCAGTTGTGTAGATTGTGTGTATGTGTGTGTGTGTGTGTGTGTGTGTGTGTGGTGTGTGTGTGTGTGTGTGTGTGTGTGTGTGTGTGTGTGTGTGTGTGTGTGTGTGTGTGTGTGTGTGTGTGTGTGTGTGTGCTCTCCATGTGTGTAAAGCTTAATTTAATCCCGGAATACATGTATGAGTGCAAATATTTTTTGCCTATATACAAAGTCGTTATATATGCAAAAGTACACGTATTTTATGTATTCGCGCACACACACACAAATACGCGTATATATTTATATACATTTATATGTATATATATGTACACACATTATTATATATATAAACATATAAACACTTTTGTAAGAAGATATGTGTACATGTATACACACTCATATATGTGTGTATATATATGCATGTATATATATGTGTATATACATATATGCATGTATATATATGTGTATATACATATATGCATATATGTCACACGCACATACATACATACACAACAAGCACACACATACATACACGCAAACATGCACATAAACACGCATACACACGTATATATATATAATAATCACACACACACACACACACACACACACACACACACACACACACACACACACACATATATATATATATATATATATATATATATATATATATATATATATATATATATATATATACAATTACACAGACACACAGACACACACGCACAGATATATATATATATATATATATATATATATATATATATATATATATATATATATATATATATATATATATATATATATATATATATATATATATATGCATAGCACGTAGATATATTCCACGTATTTATATAAATAACCAAGCATATACATACACATACATCATATAGATACATGTACAGTGTGGTACATGCAAATAGGTGAACAGCATATGCAGCATACTCCCTTGCTGTTGATACACTTGGGCTTTACCTTCCAATCAGTATGTTATTTCAAATATTAATTTTAAGAACTCTTGATTAACATCGTCGAAGTCAGCACAATATTCAGACCGATTTTATTCAGTAGAAAAATATATTGTTACAGAGAGAAGAATATGATACTTTTCAAATAATTGTCAGGTCTTTTATTCTGTAGTCTAGAAACATACCTTAAAGTTGTCCACAGTGTAAATTACGATGTAATCTTCGCCCATATGTGTTTCATGTTTCATGTAATCTATTTCAAATTACTGGCGTATTAAAATATCGATTACTATATTGATTAGAAAGATCAGCTTTTCAGTATGCCTCGTCGACCATCTGGTAACTTCTTGCTCACTTTTCCTCCAAACTTCGACGTGCATGTCTGTCCCGATCAGCATACCTCAATATACCCGGGTACACCAGAAAAGGAGATACATTTATTTGTAAAATCCATTTTTTGCCATTATCTTAAACTGTACACTGTTCATCAGCTACTCTTAATTATCATTTTTTTCTCATACATTTTTTTTTTTTTTTTTTTAATTCTCAGATATTATTTTCAATGTCAGTGTTAATAGAGTAATATTATTGTAATTGTTACCATCAACATTATTATAACTAACATTCGTATTCTTATAAGTATAAAATATAATTTTCATTGCCTTGAAA